CTCTTGTATGTAATCTACTACGGGGCACTCAACACTCTTGTGTGTAATCTACTACGGGGCACTCAATACTCTCGTGTGTAATCTACTACAGGGCACTCAATACTCTCGTGTGTAATCTACTACAGGGCACTCAACACTCTCGTGTGTAATCTACTACAGGGCACTCAACACTCTTGTGTGTAATCTACTACAGGGCACTCAACACTCTCGTGTGTAATCTACTACAGGGCACTCAACACTCTTGTGTGTAATCTACTACAGGGCACTCAACACTCGTGTGTAATCTACTACGGGGCACTCAACACGCTTGTGTGTAATCTACTACAGGGCACTCAATACTCTCGTGTGTAATCTACTACAGGGCACTCAACACTCGTGTGTAATCTACTACAGCGTACTGAACACTCTTGTGTGTAGTCTACTATAGGGCACTCAACACTCTCTAGTGTGTAATCTACTACGGGGCACTCAACACTCTCTTGTGTGTAGTATAACTAAGTACCAATCAATACATGATTTTGTTTACTATGCAGTTCGTAACAGATGACTTCCGGTTTAGAAATGGCAGCGTGAAGACGTGTTTGCGGCGACACTCGATTTTATTCTAAAATTTTCACTTAATCGGTGTTTTTCTCTTGATAACAAAGTGCGATTATTACGAATTCATTGACGATGGATATTCTCTTGTTCGTTATTACAAGTATTATGTGGTTTAGGGGTGTTATAACGGAATTATTTCCACAAAATAGCCACGGTCCTAATTCCGATAATGTAACCGCGTAGGAGCCACGCTCCCATTATAAACATGGGAGTCCACGGGTAAGACCCCAGTCTACTCTAGCAAAACAAGGTGCTGAAGTCGGAGGCAACCAGCCAGGAGGCGCACCACAGCAATCAGGATGCCAAGCACAAACGCAACAGGGAATATTTCTATATCTGCAAATAAGTTTGATTTCCACCATGCGACCCACTCACGTACACGTGGTTCGATTTACCGGCCTAAGACAAGAAGAAAGAGTCCAGCTTCAAATACTCGAAGCCTCCCCCTAATGCCCCGTAGAACCAGAAAAGCAGAAAATACAGCTAGCCTTAAAATAATGCACTGGAACGTAAATACTAAGAAATTAGAATTAGAAAACGTCTTGAACGAAGAGAATGTACATGTATGCTGCCTACAAGAGATTTATCTCAAACAAGATATGGCCTTTAAGATCAGAGGCTACCAGTGTTTCCGATCTGACCGCAAAGACAGGAGAAAAGGTGGAATTCTTACCCTGGTCAAAAATAACATCCTTGCGGGCCGGATCGAAACATACATGGAAGGTGCTGAGTATCAAACACTTGAGCTCAAGTTAGAAAATACAGATTTACATCTGACCAACTATTACTGTCCGAGCGACCGCCCTCAGGCACTGGATACAGTACTAATAAATGAAAAAATGATCATTTGTGGGGATTTTAATAGCCATTCCCAAAGTTGGGGATACGATCATATGGACCAGAGAGGAGAGAAACTAGAGGACTGGCAGGTTGAGAATAGGTTCATCCTCGTTAATAAGCCAACCGACCCACCAACCTTCTACTCTAGAGCATGGCATACCACCTCGACACCAGACCTAGCCTTTCACTCACCAGACATGGAACTGAATGTTACCAGAACTGTTGGGAAGCAACTAGGAGGCAGTGACCACCGGCCAGTCTTTCTAACTATAGAAAGCCAGTCTGTAAGAGAGAGCAGCACACTGCCAAGGTGGAATTTTAAGAAGGCAGACTGGACGTTATATCAGCTTCGCACAAATGTTCTGCTGGAAAATCTAATCACAGATAACGACGTAGAAAAAGTAGTCCAAGAGTTGAGCAAACGCATGCTGCAGGCAGCCCTAGAAGCAGTTCCAAGAGGTGCGCGTAAACAATACAAGCCGTACTGGAACTGCGATCTGGAGCAACTGCACAACAATATGGAAACAGAAAGAAAACAAGCTGAGACCAGACCTTGTCAAGAGCAGTTTAACAACTACCAACATTCAAAGGCCAAATTTCAAAGAGCCAAACTGCAGGCTAGACGGGCAAGCTGGCAAGAAAAGACAGTCTCTAAACTTTGAAAGAGACACAAGGAAGTTGTGGAGGTTAATTAAGCAAATTAATGATGAGAATACAGGAAGAAATGGTAATATTGCACTATGCAAAGAGGGAGCCATCCTAACAAGAAAACAGGCAGCTGACCACTTTGCAGATTCCTTTGCAGAAGACAGCAACATTAATGTCAGCCCAGAGAAACAGCGAGAGGTTCAAGAAAACAAACAACATATAAGACAAAAAGATATAATTCCTGAGGCACTGGTGGCAGCACTTACATCCAGCGAGTTAGAGTTAGCAATATCAAAGCTGAGAATGGGAAAATCACCTGGAATTGATGGTATCACCAACGAAATGATCAAGAACCTTGGAACAACTGCCCAAAAAAAGCTGCTACAGATCTTTAATCATTGTTGGACCAGTGGCAAAGTTCCTCAAATATGGAGAGAAGCAATCACAATACCTTTGCTTAAACCAGGAAAGGACAGTTCTGATGCCTCCAGCTATAGACCGATCAGTCTTACCAGCTGCCTCTGTAAAACAATGGAACGTATTGTCAACCTTAGACTCCAATGGTACTTGGAAAGTGAAAACATTTTCACGCCGCAGCAGGCAGGATTTAGACAGTGCTACTCCACAGAAGACCAGACAACTTACCTTTCACAAGAAATTGAGGATGCCTTCCAGGAAAAGAAGCTAGTGCTAACGGCATGGATAGATCTGAAGAAAGCCTTTGACAAGGTCTGGAAAGAAGGTCTACTGAAGAAACTGAGAGACTGCAGGGTGAATGGGAGAATGTACAAATGGGTGAAAGCATACTTGTATAACAGAAGATCCCGAGTACAGATAGATGGACTTAAGAGTAAGAAAGTTTTGCTGCGCCATGGCGTCCCACAAGGAGGTGTTCTGTCCCCCACACTCTTCCTAGTCTATATCAACGACCTGCTTTCTGAACTACCCCATGGAATTAAAGCTGCAATGTATGCTGATGACTTGGTACTCTGGTGTACAAATGAAAATGCGACAGTGGCCACCAGGTTGCTACAAAGAGCCATAGATGCAATGGCTGATTGGGCCAACAAATGGTGTGTCAGCATCAACATAGGCAAATGCAGCACCACCCTCTTTACCCTTTTCTCCTAAACAAAAATCAGGTGTCATGCACATAAATGGAGTACCCCTGAGAGAGGATAAGGAGCCCACATACCTCGGCGTAACGTTTGATGATAGATTAACATGGAGAAAACACATCAACAAGGCAGCAACCAAAGCCAGAAGGAGGGTAGCCATTCTGAGAAAACTAAGTGGAACCACATGGGGTGCTAGCGGGAAAATACTTAGAAAAGTTTACCAACAAAGTGTTCGACCACATCTTGAATACGGATCAACTGCATGGAGTTCGGCATCAAAAACCACATTGCAAGAATTAGACAAAGTGCAAAATCAAGCACTCAGAGTTACCACAGGCAGTATGAAATCAACACCTATAGCTGTGATGGAGAAAATGGGGATGACCCAAGCACTGAGTGAACGCAGAGACACCAAGATGCTTTTACAAGCAGAAAAGTTTCTTAGTATGCCCAGTCACCCTATGAATGAAAGATTCCAAAAATTTAGCTTTGGGACGACTAAAGAGAAGTAGTTTTATCCACCAGGCCAAACGGCTCGGCAGACAAACCACTGATTTACCTGCAACTGATAGATCCTTAAATGCTGTCCCAGAACGGACCCCCTGGAGAGAGGAGTATAAGTTTCCAATACACATCAAGACTGAAGTGAAAGGGGTATTTGACAAGGAAGAACAAAACAGTGTGCAGCGCAAAACAGCCACCCTCAGTCTACTTGATGATGAATACCCGCAGAACCTTTGGGTCCGTGTTTACACAGATGGGTCAGCAGAAAGCGCAGTCAGAAACGGAGGTGCGGGAGTGTACATTGAGTATCCTAATAATACCAGGGATATAGCCAAATTACCAACGGGAAAGCACTGTCACAACTATGATGCAGAAGTTCAAGCCATCAAGATAGCGGCAGAGAAACTACTAAATACAGGGTATTTTTTCACAACCAGTGGTATTCCTGACAGATGCAAAAGCAGTACTTCAGTCACTCCAGTCTGGAAAATTACCAAGCATACGGACATTATTATCCGAACTAGGCAACCGCTGTAAATTAGTAATGCAGTGGATACCTTCCCACTGTGGAGTTCCCGGAAACGAAAAAGCTGATAAACTAGCTAAGGAAGGTGCAACTGAAGAACAACCTAACATACCAGTCTCTTATCAACAGAAGAAGAGAATGATCAAATCAATCAGAATGCCACCGAAACTGGCACAAGATGATTACCATATTATGGACAGACCAGAGCAAGTCATTATCCTTCGCCTTAGAACAGGGCACAATCGACTTCGCTCCCACATGTACAACAAATTCAAGATTGGCCAATCAGCCATGTGTACTTGTGGACTGGCACCTGAAACAACAGATCACATCCTTCAAGACTGTCCCAGATTCAACGCTTTCAGGCAAAACCTTTGGCCAAAAGAGACACTTGTGGAAGTCAAACTTTACGGGCCGCTTAGTGAATTACAAAAGACAGTGAAATTCATACTAGAGACAGCTTTGCAGATATAGACAATTTATTTCATGCGAATGAAAGAAGAAGAAGAAGTTCATAACATTTAACAAATTGTGTATAAATATTACTTGATAACATTCAACACTCTCTGCTTGTCTGTTTTACATTATTTTATGTCAAACAGTTGAAATAAAGAAGCAAACACATTATGGTGTTACTAATACTGCAAAAGTATGTCACACATGGTACATTCAAACACTAGGATTAAATACTTCAAATATTATGCAGAAAAACATGAAATAAATGCATTTGTTTCTGAGAAAATATTCAGCACAGTTATCTAATATCATTCACTTTCAATGTTGCTTCCTGGACCCCAGCGTGTAGAGTACAAGCTCGGCTCATGAGGCAGCAAAATACGGTGAGGGTAGAACGTATAGTTTGTGGAATACTTTGACAAGTTTGTCAGACTTGACATGTAAATGTCTGCAAATCTGGCCAAACGCCGAAAGAAGTATGTCGGGTTGTGATATGTCCTAAACAAGCTGCCAAAGTGTGGGTTGAATAAGGATTTTGTCAACTTCCTGAAAATGAATGTTTAAAAGGAAAGAAAATGTTCTCAAATGGGTTTAATTAAGGAAACATTTAATAAACTGATATATGTGACTGTCTCCTGCTTGGATGAAGGTGTTAAGATTTTCATCTAAATGTCACTCTGTAAAAACCATTTCATTATATTAATATTGTCTCTTATAACTGTTCTGCCAACAAAAAAGTTTATACCCAAATGCAGACAACAATTATTTCAGCCGTTTATGCCAGAAAATTCTGTTCTCCCTATTTTTACCTTTCATTGTCAGCTCCTTCTTCGTGTTCACTGGCTGTAAACTGACGGAAAGTTCTGGTTGTTCCCCTACTTCTGGACTTTAATCTTGTGCCAGAACTTAGAGTTTTCTGTGCACTCTGTTTTGCAGATCTGGCTTATTTGTATGCAAATGGTTGTTTTTCCTGCCTCTCAGGTAGATGCACTCCGACTTTGGAGGAAACACCTATAGTTAGTCAGTTTTTATGATGTGCTTGTTAGGGAAGCAGTGGTCTGTTTTTTTCTTCTTCCCAAAATATGGCCCCAGTATGTCCACAGGAACAGTCAAGAAGCAACATCTGGTGAGAGCTCTTGCAGAAATTTCATACATGGTGGCATTCACAGCTTATACAACACTGATAAGTCTTCCCACACTGGACACGTGATGAGCAGGGAGAAGCTGGAGTAATACATGACAACAAGAAGGGGGAGGAAAAGACAGACAAGGGAGAGCCACAGAAAAGTTGTTGGGACAGTCTGGCATCATGGCATGAGAAACAACTGGATCAGAAAACAACTGTATCAGTCTCTTGTGTCTTTCACCACGCTGAAGCGCTTTTAAGCTCTGTGTAGAGCAATGTACCGTTGTAAGTTTAGGTTGTTACAACCTAACCAACCATGGGAAAAGGGTCTCAGGGAGAACACATAAGTATGGGGCAGCAGGTTTAAAAGAAGAACAGTGACATACTTTAAAAGTAACAACTTAAAATTCTCTTATTCCTCTTAGTCCACGCCATCACAATCTGTGGGACAGGATAGTCTGCTTCACATTTCTGCCACCTTAGCACATTGTACATTTGTACTTATGTTTGAATCCCCTCTGACCCTTCTGCCCTGAGAAGCCGCGAACCAGACAGCCAAATCACCTGCAGCTGGAATCAAACCTGGTATCTCGGAATTATGAAGTGCATTCACAACAACTAAGCCATAGATGCCAACTAAGGCTAGTGATATGTCTAACAGGAAATTTAAATCATGATTTTCCAACAGCAGATGTGCTACCAGGATGATACTAGTTGAAACATGGGAAACATGCAACCTACCTCAGTTCATTTCTCTCCTCTAGCCAAGAGTTGATCACCTCAGTCGATTCTGATGAATTCTGATGCTGGAAGAACAATGTCTACAGTGTCAACATCACAACAGAACTACATTTCTGAGTGAGATAAACTATGTCAAACAACTGTTAACTTGCAAATAGCACACAACAAATAACAAACATGTAACAATATTCTCCTTCTTCTTCATTTCCTGTTTTACAACTTCAGGTGTTAAGGTTCTTGCTCTTATGGTCGCCTTGACCACAGAAAAATTGTACTGTAGAGTTTCTCTCATGTTATCTTTCCATATTCTTCTTGATCTACCTCATGATTGAGTCCCTTTCCTCTGTTGGTGTGTGCTTCAAATGGTATGACATATGATTTGATTTGATTTGATTCAAGAACCGACATCACAGCACTCGGGGCATTCCCATAAGCGCCCTGTCCCCATCTTCAGGAGCCAGCGAAGAGTTCCGATACCAATGGTGCCAGTAGCTTTCTGATTAAACGTCCGTCTTGCCTTTCCTCTGAGCCTCGAGCTTCTGCCAGAACCTCTCGTCACCCCCAACGGCATCAATCTCACCAGACTGTGGTGATCTATCTGCTCCTCCAGATTGTACACACTCTCCCACAAGGCACTGACCACGTCTGCCCTATCATGTAGCAGTATTCCACCAAGTTGTGCAGAGCCAGCCAGTCTGTCCGCCTGTTCATTTCCCAACACACCTGCGTAACCCGGTGAAAAAATCCAGACAATACTCCTCACTCGTGTCCTCTGCAGTGAAGCATACCACTCTGCACGAAGCATACCTGTTCTGATCTTCCTCAGCATACTCTCTGAATCAGTTACAATCACGATGCGTGTATGTGTGTGTGTCGTGTTCTCTAGCCAGCGGAAAGCTGCAGTGACCGCCTCCACCTCCATTCTTAAACTGGATGTTGTGGTATCATATGCTAGGCTCTCCTGCACCAAACGTCGACCATTAACTTTGGCTAAGAAGCCCCCCCCCCCCCCCCCAAGCACTTTTTTTTGCCTCTTGACACTGAACCGTCTGTGTAAATGATCAAATCTTCTGAGCGAGCATTATCTTGAATTAATTGCTGAATTTCCACCTCTGTGGCACCTGCTGACCAGTCTCTGCATTCCCGGCTCAGCGTGATTATGACTCTACACAGGTCTGACTGCTCAGGTGGCACCCACTCCTCTCCTCGCCTAATGTTCTCAAGGATGCAAACCTGTTTGATAGTGTCTTCTGACCAAGCTGAAGGTTTAAAAAAAAAAAAAAAAAAGTAAAAGACCCTTTTCCACGCCCTTAGGCGCATAGGGCATATAGGGCTAGACCTATATTTTTATAGACCAATCGGCACAATATGGGTGATGCTGTCAGCATCACTCCGGTCGCCTTTACTTCCCAGGACTGCACCCGGTACCCACTCAAGGCTGGGTTGACCTGGGGGCCAAGGTAATTTAAAAAAAAAAAGTTATGCTCTGCCAGGGAGCGAACCCACGACCTTCCGATCTGCAGCGAGCGTCTAGCCACTCCGCCACGGCGACTCCCAGCTAAAGGTTTACAGAGCTGTAATTCTTCCAGTACTGTTCTACCCTTGCAAAATGTGGACTGTGTTCAGCGCCATGCTAAAAAGCTAAATAAATTTCAGATAACTTGTCTCTGAAAGCTACTCAAAGTCCAATGTGGTTCTTGGTAGGACAAACCTGCCCAGCATCCACATGATGCTAGACGTCGCCTCCCAAACAGAATATTTTATGGTGATATTCAACCCAGAGAAGCCATAAATCTAACATTATCGGTTGGGTCCAATCTTCGTAAATGTCACTTTACTGACATTGCCAATGTGGCTTGCCTATGAGAAGCCTAGCTAACAACACTGGTTCTATTTGTGCCTGTGCAAACGTTTAGGATGACTGGGAATTTTTATATTTGCTAATAACAGTAATTAGGTGGATTTTCCAGTAGAAAAAAGTAGCTTTTAAAAACAGAAATGACATCATGAATTCCCCATTAGTCATAGCATAACTGGGTAACCAGGTCACAGGGTCAAAAATGAGTAACATTTATTTTTAAATGAATTCCATAAATTTGGTTCACTTACTGTCTTTTCTAGGCCATCAGGGAGAAAGGGATATGAAAGAAAAGTGCATGTTAAAATATTCTGAATCTGCATAGCAATCTAAGATGTATCCAAGCAGCACTTCTAGGGCTAACAAACAGCACAGATAAGGGCCAAACATAACTAATGGTTAAACAAAGAAAAGTCATACTGGTACAAACCTGCATCTCATCTATCAAATGCTGCAGCGCTACCAGCCACCGCACATTGGCTTTGTACACTTCTGAGTTTTGTTTCTGGATTTCAGCCTGAAGAAAAGTGAATGCAGTAACACATGAGTCAATGCACATTATAACAGCAAATAGTAAACATAAAATCAGACAGGCAAACAGAAGAATAGTTTAAGAAAGATACAGAAAAAAATCAAGAAAATTTAAAGTTATTAAAAAAAAAAGAATTTACCTCTTAAGCAGGTAATTTAAGTGCATACAAGTCTTAGTCTAAGTTGAGATTTCAACTTCACTGCAACCTGGTTTTCCCAAACTTGCTCCATTCCTGTGCAAATCCAAATCAAATGAAATGTTCCTGACTGTTGCATTTGAAAAACTGGTGAACAAACAGTTCCGGAACAATCCATAATATGCACATGCAGTAAATGCATATGGCAGTTGCCAGAGGCACCAAAGCCAACAGTCGCCACCGGAAATGCAGTTTGTCAATGATGGAAGTAGTTGGGCACGATAAGTTGGCTATACACACGTAGAATTATTATGTAAGTTATTTCACCAGCTCACATGTTAACCGGCTACTGCACATTTTGAATACCATGAACAAACGGCTGCACAAATGAAAGGCATTCCACATGAAAACAAAGCTCACAGAGCTGCACCAAGCAATAAACTCAGGAGGCAAAACCGTAAATTACTGTCCACATGAGGAAACTGCATTAACAAAGCTCTGTTGGAAGCAAAAATAACTCTGAAGTTCAACATTCTGCCATGCTTAATCCTTTATTTTAGTTCAGAAGTCTCCAAAATGCTTTTGTAGTGGGTAATTTTATTTTCCAGACTGATAAAGCCACAGAGAACTTCCCTTAAATTGTACATAACTTCCACGAAACTCTGTCTCCTAATATGAGGATACCAACTGATTCCATGTGTGAAAAGTACAGATTTGGCTTACTTTTATAGACCGATGGTTCCTTGCCTCTCAGGCAGATGTATTATGATTTAGAAGGAAAAACCCCTATTTTTTATGACATGCTTGTAAAGGAGGCAGTGGGTCTGTTCTCCCCCCCACCCTCTCCAACAGTGCAACGGGATCCCAGAACGCATACCGGGAAGAAACATGTTTAAAAAAAAAAAAAGACAATCAACATTTGAAATTTCACAGAAATTGAACACAGTAGAGATAAAATGCATAAAATAAGCTAACCTCAAGTTCTGGAATTATAGCTCCTGTTCGCCAACCATACTTTAAGGATGGGTCCTGGAATCAGTGGGCACAAGAACGCAAATGAAAATCTCACAATTAATAAACAAACAGACTTGACACTTTCAAGAGTTCTTCCAAGAAAAGAGACAAGAAAAGGAACATCATACAACATTAGTGCATTGCATCTGATAAGTAATTGATCCTTTTTATTTTTACACCTCGCGTACATCAGGCATACGATGTTACTCATCTGTACAGACCAATCAGCACTCAATGAGTGCTGTGGTAAATATCTTGCTATCCAACTTTACTTCCCAATACATTTCCAGGCATACATTTTTTAGACTAGGTCAACCTGGAAGCTAAGTTCAATTTACCCAAATCCATCAGGATGTGGATTTGAATTCAAACTCTGTGCACCAGAAGAGAAGTGTCTAGCCGCTGTGCTGCTGTAGCTCACATTGTATTTGTCTGTCAGTCCTAAACAATACAAGATGTACGAACCATTATCTACTGGATCTCTTCCTTAGCTTAATATACTCTCTTACTGTTTGTATTTGGTCAGAACACACTCAAGAAATCTAGCTTGTCTTCACTGGCACCTCCTACATAACCTTCTTTTGCTGCAATTATGTCAACCATCCATATTGGATACAGATCAACTGTTAGAATGGTGCAGATAATCAGGAGAGCTGAAAGGCTGATGTTGAGGAAGGACAGCATGCTGGGAAATTAATTTCAAAAGAAAGCAGCACAATGGCCACTGGTTGTGGCAGAGAAGATAAAATGAATACCCAACATACTGTTGAAATAGAATTCATGGCAGTAGCAGGTAGAACTGCAAATGGTAAATACATAAGAGGATTCATAACTGTCTACTTAGGTCACTGAAGAAATACCTGAACTTCTTTTTGCACATGATCAGTGTCTAATACTCGATCAAGAACAGAATTTACACCATACTTCTTCTTCTTCATGTAAACTCTGGCGGAATGTTCTGGTTGTTCATCCACTTTTGGACTGCAGTCCTGTTCCAGAACCTGAGTGTTGCATGTGCATCCATTTTACAGATCTGACTCATTTGTATGCAGACGGCTGGTTACTTGCCTCTCAGGCAGATGCACTCCGACTTCGAGGGAAGCTCCCAATTAGTCGACTCTTACAACATGCTTTTGGGTAGACAGTGGGTCTATTCTTGTTTTCCCTATAATAGGACCCCAGAACCCACATGGGAACACCATACTGACTCCTTACCATCAAACCTGCACAAAATATTATATGAAAATACACACAGCAAAACTGAGGTAATGGGAATAGGCAGGAAACAACATAACATGAACATTAATTGTAATGGTACTACAGTCAAACAAGTACGAGAAATCAAATATCTAGGAAGCATTTTTACAAGAGATGGCAGACTGTATAAAGAAATAAAAGCCAAAGTACAGAAGGCAAATGCTGTCACCTACCAGTTAGCCCCACTGCTTGGAACAAACTGCAGATGATATTTTTTATAGCAGAACATCTGGGAGGAAGACAAAGGGAAGACCAAGAAAGAGATGGATAAATGTTTTAGCTGAAACCCGCAAAAAGTTTTAGAAAAAGCCATCACCAAATCCACCCAAGAAGCACAAGCAAAATTCAGAAAACCATGACACTGGGCTACAACTTGGTGTCTGTGAGACGACAACAGAAGACAGAAGATAACAGTACACTATGCGAAAAACTGCCCTTTATCAATATATGCTAAGAGTTGGATTTTATGATTTCAAAACCACACCATTCTATTAAAATAACATTACACTCTAACAACACTGTTGTCCAAGTTGGACAAAGTAAATTACATTTACCAAATCTTAGAAGAACAATTTTATATTGTTTGTAATATAAAAATTACAATAATGGTGGATATCAATCAAACATAGTATTTATTTAGGCAGGACAAATGTTTTCCAACATTACAGTAAGTTAATCCAAGTTTACTATATATTCTCTCAATTTAGTATTTGGTCATGACCATAAGTTAATCACTTTCATATTTAAGCAAATATATTGATAAGTCACTTTTGTTTTCACAAAGAACAGAAAACACTGAGCGTCTTTATTTATACAAGAGTAGCAAGTTTCTAGCAAAGTGTCAAAACAGGCTGGAAATGTGTTTTTGTCCAGCCCACCACAAAAGCTATGACATTATGGTAGATCATTGTTTCCATTATATTTCATCATAACGACATGAAAATAGGAACAAATTATAATATTCAACTGAAACAACTTGGTAAAGAGAATGCTGCTGATATGGTGTGAAATAGTATATTTTAGGCCATGAGAAATGAATCTAGACTCAGTAGATGTCCGCCCTAATGGTTGTCACAAGGCTTCTACATAATCAACCTTTCAGTTACTCTGAGAATATAAAAGCCTTGAACTCACTGCAAGGTCACTATAAACATGATCACCAAAGTAAAGCACTTTTGGCCCGTACCAGCCGGTCATCTTCTGCAACTCCTTGTGATTTCCCTGAAATGTATCACACAAATGAAAATGAAAACAAAAGTCAGTTTTCAAGAAAAGAACTAGTATGGTCAGACTTGGTTTGGTAAGTTATGGTTTGGTTTGGCTTGATAAATTTGGTGAGATAAGATTTTGTTTTGTACAGATTGACATTGCTTGGTGTGGCTTGGCTTAGTATGGTTTGACTTAGTATGGCGTGGTTTTGGTTGGGATGGTATGACTTGGTATGAGTTTGGCTTGGTCAGATAAGGTTCAATTTTGCTTGGTATAGGATGGTATGGTTTGTCTTGGTATGGTACTGTTTGGATTGACATGGTTTGGTTTGGGTTGGTAAGAAGGTTTGGTCTGATATGGTATGGTCTGGCCTGGTAATGTTTGGCTTGCTATTAGGTTAGGTTTGGTATAGTTTGTTGTTGCTTAGTATGGTCTGGCTTGGTATGGTTTGATTTGAATGGTATGGTTTGGCTCGGTATGGTCTGACTTTGGTATAGTATGGTCTGTCTTAGAATGGTATGGTTTGCCTTGGTATAGCTTGCCTTGGTATAGTATGGCTTGCTATATTTAGTTAATACATTCACATCCTAGGCGGCCTCTAAAAACTCCTCAGGCGCACATAGAAATAATGACATTTAATCAAACCTTTCGAGAACAAGTCACTTCAAAAATGACGATATCCATATTTATGGGGCTGTGTCACAACCGGATATGACTAGAACTAGTCTTCTCGGGTGGTAACATTTAAAAAAAAAAAGTTATGTGGTCGTGGTTTTTTTCAGGCCATGATAAAATATTTGATAAGCGTTACACGTTTATATCAGTTGCAATTGATGTGATACATCTTTACCTCTCAGAAATTTTCCAGGTACTCATTTAGATGGGGGCAATTTGAAAGCCAAAGGCAATGAAAGGATGCCTGCCTCAAAGATGATTGGAACATATGACCCTAAGTTTGTCAATGATCTAAATGCTACATATAATTTACCAAAATGTATATCCAAAGTAAAACAGCCATGAGATTGAAGTGGTGTAATATAAGAGCTCATACACTCACCTGATGGTAGATTGTGCCTTTCTTCAAACTGGTGACAGGTCCCCACTCTGGTGCCTTCTGCTCCACGTTATAGACCCGAAATGGTCTAGAGATTAAAAATTACATTAACTTCAAAAACAATGACAAGGAACTTTGGTGAACATCTGTAATCGTGAAAATAATAAAGTTACTTTAAGAATAATTTCATGAAGACCTGCACATATTATTTAGTGAAGTTTCAAGTTTCAGATTATGTAACCACATGTACAAAAAATTTAAGATGGGTACATCCAGTCATGTGCATCTGTGGAAAGGTGCCCCAGACAGCAGAGCATGTACTCCAGGACTGCACCAAATTTGACACATTAAGGCAAATCTTTTGGCCAGAAAGAACAACAGTGGAACGTAAACTCTTCGGACCACTGAATGAACTAACAACGACAGTGACATTTATACAAGAGACACAATTGCTGATATAGACAACTTATTTCAGGCGAACGAAAGAAGAAGAAGCAGCAGCAGTCTCTGATTTGACATACAAGCACCAGCTGAGGACAAACTCATAAAATTGAGTACAGAGATTGACCAGAACACACTGCAGAATCAGTAATTCTACAACTGATTCATGAAAATTCTTGCCCAGGTGATATTATCTGCTATACAAAAGGATCTGCTTTGAGAGGCAGAAAAAAGTATATAGGGGTTCATTGAAAACGCAAATGGATGTCAGTACAAAAAACCTAGGATATGATACCACAACATTTAATTTGAGAATTGAGGTGGAGGCAGTCACAGCAGCTTTTCATTTGCTTCAGAACAGGCTGTACACACGTGATGTGATTGTAACAACTTACAAAGTATGCAAAAAAAATGTGGAGAAAAGTGCGCTTCTTTCAGAGTGGCAAGCATCGCCTCACAGTTCCCCGGTGGTTAGCACCCTTTATATTTTCTCCAGAGCATGAACGCATGTTGGAAAATAAAAAGGATGAGTGGCTAGTGCTGTACCATCTGGGTGATGGCTTGATGCATGACATGCCAGATGTAGAAGCATGGCTTGATGCATGACATGCCAGATGTAGAAGCATGGCTTGATGCATGACATGCCAGATGTAGAAGCATGGCTTGATGCATGACATGCCAGATGTAGAAGCATGGCTTGATGCATGACATGCCAGATGTAGAAGCATGGCTTGATGCATGACATGCCAGATGTAGAAGCATGGCTTGATGCATGACATGCCAGATGTAGAAGCATGGCTTGATGCATGACATGCCAGATGTAGAAGCATGGCTTGATGCATGACATGCCAGATGTAGAAGCATGGCTTGATGCATGACATGCCAGATGTAGAAGCATGGCTTGATGCATGACATGCCAGATATAGAAGCATGGCTTGATGCATGACATGCCAGATGTAGAAGCATGGCTTGATGCATGACATGCCAGATGTAGAAGCATGGCTTGATGCATGACATGCCAGATGTAGAAGCATGGCTTGATGCATGACATGCCAGATGTAGAAGCATGGCTTGATGCATGACATGCCAGATGTAGAAGCAAATGAACAATGAAGAAAACTGAATAAATCACTACACTATAAAGAAAATAGTGTGGAGGGGAATGATCCAGTGATCTGGCCAATACTCTACACTCAAGAGTAATGACAAGACAGACATATAATAAATTTGCTACAGGTACCATCAGAACTGGAAGTCTTCACTGACTGCTGAAGATGAGGATGGAGCATGTATGTGAATGTCATAAGTGCTGTGATGTCGGTCCTTGACTCCAACCCAAGCGCCATGTATATGTGAACAAGCCCAAACTGACTGCTACTTTTCAAAAATATATTCAAGCTAACATCATCATCATCTTCTTCTTAGCATTGTAAACGTTCTGGTTGTTCACCCATTTCTTGACTTTACTCTTGCTTTGGAACGTGAGTTTTGAACGTTTCTCGATATTACAGATCTGGCTTTGTATGCACTGTTGGTGCCTAGCTTCTCAGGAACAGGCACTCTGACATAGATGAAAGCACCCCTAATTAGTTGACGTTCACAACATGCTTGTTATGGGTCAGTTGGTATATTCTTTTTTCCCGCCCACAATGGAGTGCCAGTACCCATATGGGGAAGGCTAACACCTAAAGTTTGAAGGAGCAAGAGGAAGGAGGAGGAGGAGGACAGTGGTTACCTCACATTTCTATCCATATAATGGAAGTCACTGACATTGTTGTTGCTGTCAGTTCACATGTGATATCTGTTACTCTTAACACCCAGTTTCTCTACATAATTTTATTACCATTTACCTGCATTGGCTTTTTGTATTTTCCAATCTTGAGTAATGTAAAAGGTGGTTTCAAACAAAAGTCTGTTTCTGAATGATGCACAACTTTCATTGTCACAAAAGCCATACCTACCTACCTGAAACTATCTCCTATATGTGCACAGGAGAATTTCAGTCGATTCAGTCACACCGATATACTAAACTGTAGTGGTAGTATACTGGTTCTTCGCCAAACATTTATGTACAAGTCACAGAAAGAAATAACAACCAGGTTTTTTTTTTTTCAAAGGGAAGAAATATATACTGGTCTCTCTCTCCCTCTCAGATGTAACTATTTGCCAGGAAGAAAAACAAACGTAAAGACAGTACACAACACACCAAAAACCCTATCTTCACTACCATACCTTAAATGTAACAACTGTACAATTAATCTGTACAGTACACAAGGAGATATCGACTGCATGATAGCTTTCATAAAGGTTAATTGCCTCCTGACATAGGTTTTCTGACAGAAAGGTTCAAAGAAGAAGAAGACTGTATTTACCAGTTTCAAGGATGGTGTATGACAGTGGGGTTTTAAGCCTAAGGATTTTATGGATCTGGCAGTCACCACCGACTGTCGAGGTTAGGGTTTAATTTTGTTTCCTTTATATTACACAAAAAGTTACCTGGAGCCTTCTTTAAAGAACTTGGGTTTTCTGGCACTGACTATTACCACATCAAACAGGTCCAGCCAATCATTTCCAACCATGTACCTCATCCCATGATCTCTGTGAAATTAAAGAGTCAGTCAATGTGTGAAGCCCATCCTCAAAAGTATGTATGAGAGTGAATGTATGTGAAATAGAAGGAGAAAGAGAGACAGTGTGTTTATATGCGTGCATTTGGGTGTGAGGTACGTATATTTGAATGAATGCATTTGTCATCTCTATCTTTGGTACCTTTATTTGACATTCTGTACGAGGGCTATTCCAAAATCAACATCTGTCTACCTGTTAAAGGTAAACTGTTTGCCGTAGTGATACCTCAAGCAAGCATCAAGCAAGCACTCACGCTGGTCGCACAACCTCCATCATCACTAAGCTCCTGAAGTCTATCCTAGGAAAGAAAACTATCGAGCAAATTCACAGAACCAAGGATGGCGTAGTGGCTACCCTGTACAGAACACCAAGAACCACAACTCTGGTAAGTGAAACTCGTAAAGGCACCGCAGCAGAACTACATCTCCCCCACAAAACAGTGGTAGTTCCCAGCATCTTCTTGAGTACCTGGTGCTAGATAATCAAGCGAGTCGACCTCAGCCTCCAGGACAATGACATTCAAAAACAAGTTCAAATCGAGAACCCCAACCTATGAATAGTGACAGCAGAACGCCTGAAGTCCAGAAACAAAAACACAGCAGCTGCAATTCTCACAACAGTGTTAGACGCTCTACCTGGTGAAATCCTGTTCAACAAGCACAGACTCTGGAGGCATATGTGCCCCCTGTTCTTCAATGTTCTCGGAGCCAAAAGGCGTGGCATTCAGTTTCATTCTGCCACAGTACAGTCATCATTTGCCGTTACTGCCCCAAGGAACATTCTTTTAGTGAGTGCCAAAAAACACAGACAACGATCTTCCCAAGCAAATCTCAAACAAAAAATGTGCCAACTGCTCAGGGGCCCATGGTTCCAGATACATGAGTTGCCCGTACCTGAAACAGTGCAACAAAGATATCAAAACAGCAGTTGAAGAAAACATCCCATACCAGGTGGCTAGACAGCGTCTTGAATGTCACATGGCAATGTCGCAATGTCAGTATGGATGATCATTTGCGTCAGACCTGACCTAAAATACATGAGGCAGAAGTAGAGAAATAGAGGATGCTTTTCAAGATAAGAAACTGGTACTCGCGGCATGGATAGATTTAAGGAAAGCTTTTGACAAGGTTTGGAAGGAGGGGCTTTTGAAGAAATTGAGAAACTATAAAGTAAATGGAAAAATGTACAATTGGATTAAGCATATCTACATGACAGAAGAGCCCGGGTACAGGTAGATGGTTTCATAAGTATAAAAGTTCTACTGCGACAAGGCATCCCTCAAGGTGGTGTCCTGTGGTCCAGACTTTTCCTCTTATTCATCAAAGATCTGGTTGCTGAGTTAACAAATGGAATCAAAATGGCAATGTATGCCTATGACCTGGTATTGTGGTGCACCAATGAACATGCAACGATAGCCACAAGAACGATAGCCACAAGAACACTACAGCGGGTTACATATGAACTTGAGGCATGGGCGAATAGATGGTGTATCAGCATCAACACAGACAAATATAGCACCACACTCTTCACTCTCTTCCCAAAGCAAAAAGCAGGCATCATAAAAATAAACAGAATACTCCTAAGAGATGATAAAGAGCCCACATATCTCGGAGTCACATTCAATGACAGGTTGACATGGAGAAAACACATTAACAAGGCAGCAACCAAAGCTAGGAGGAAGACAGCAATACTAAGAAAACTAAGCGGAACCACATGGGGAGCCGATGGGAAAATACTCAATAAAGTATACAAGCAGAGCATACAACCACACTTGGAATATGGGTCAACTGCATGGTGTTCAGCATTTAGAACCACATTAAAGGAGTTGGACAAAGTGCAAAATCAAGTGCTCAGAGTCATTACAGGAGGGATTAAATCAACACCCATATTAGAAATGGAGAAAGCTGGAAAACACAGGCACTGAGAGAACGCAGAGGTGCAAAGTTGCAAATACAAGCTGAAAAGTTCCGCAGTATGCCAGATCACCCGATGAAAAATAGATTTCAGAACCTAGCCTTAGGACGGTTAAAAAAGAAGCAGCTTTTTACACCAAGCAAAAACGAATATGTAGACACACTGTTGACCTTCCAGAAATTGGTTGTCCACTTAAAAGTATTCCAGAAACAACCCCATGGAGAGAAAAATGCAACTAACAGTACAAATCCATACAAATGTGAAAGGGACATTTGACAAGAAAGAGCAAGATAGTGTACAACGCAGAATTGCCACCCTCAGTTATATTAATGAAGAATACCCACAAGAACAATGGGTCAGAGTCTATACAGATGGGTTCGCACAAAGTGCAGTTACAAATGGTGGTGCTGGAGTGTACATAGAATTCCCAGATGGTACAAGGGATAAGTCCAGCGCACCAACCGGGAAGTACTGCCATAACTATGATGCAGAAACTCAGGCTATCAAGGTAGCAAACAGAGAAACTGCTAAATACCAATCTTGGCTCACAGTATGTGGTAATGCTGACAGATGCTAAATCAGTACTTAAAGCACTCCAGTCTAGGAAACTACCAGAATTGCAAACACTGCTGACACAACTCAGCCTTCAGCGAAGAGTTGTAATGCAGTGGATACCGTCACATTGTGGAGTGTCTGGAAATGAGAAAGCTGATCAACTGGCAGGGGAAGGTGCGACAAAAGTGCAGCCGGATGTACCAGTCACATACCACAAAAAGATAAGAATCATTAAATCGATCAGGAAACCACCAGCCCCAGCACAAGATGACTATTTTATTATGGACAGACCAGAACAAGTCATTATCATCTGCCTCAGAACAGGGCACAACCGATTACGTAACCACATGTACACAAAATTCAAGATATTCGTATCAGCCCTGTGCACCTGTGGAAAGGTGCCCCAGACAGCAGAGCATATACTCCAGGACTGCACCGAATTCGACACATTAAGGCAAACCTTTTGGCTAGAAAGAACAACAGTGGAACGTAAACTCTATGGACCACTGAATGAACTAACGACAGTGAAATTTATACAAGAGACAAAATTGCTGATATAGACAACTTATTTCAGGCGAACGAACGAAAGAAGAAAAAGGTTGTGGATAGACAGGACCCTGTGTGGGTTCCGGGGCCCCATTTGTGGGGAAAACAAGAATAGACCCACTGCCTCCCCAAAAGCATGTCGTAAGAGTCGACTAATTGGGGAGCTTCCTTTGAAGTGGGAGTGCATCTGCCTAAGAGGCAAGGAACCAACAGTGTATTCAAGAGAATGAGATCTGTAAAACTGATGCACACGCAACACTCAGGTTCTGGAGCAGGACTGCAGTTCAGTAGTGGACGAGCAACCAGAACTTTCCGCTAGAGTGTACAGCTGGTGAACGCGAAGAAGAAGAAGATAGACAGGACTAAGGCAACATCACACGGCATGGATCAAAAAGAGGATGGCCATAGCAATGCAAAGTATGCATTAAAAGTCTATGCTTAAGCACCAGCAAGGAAATCAAAATTAAAATTTTGAGAGTATGCATCTTCCTTGTAGCAACATACAGATGTCAGTTGTAGACTATCTCCCAGTCCTTTAAAAAAAATAGGCGCCTTTGAGCTGAAATGCTAAAGAAGGATTCTCAGAATATCATGGACAAAGAAGTGGAGAAATAACGACATTGTGAAATATCTGAAAATCAGGGAAGATTGGCTAATAAACAGCATCTTGTCTCAAAAACAAAAATATTTTGTTCACATCAAGGGCCCATGGAAGATTGGCAAAAATAGCAGAAAGCATGGTAAGAGAGAGGAGAGGCAGGGTCCGACCAACATGAAGATGGCCCAGGATTAAGTGACTCTTTGAATATGAATGTACACGAGGCAGGAGAGCTGATGAGAGACTAAGTTTCTTTCAGGCAGACAGTGATGAGAGCAACGTTCTGACAACCCTGATGGGGAAAAAGGCACAGGAAATCACTGGTGATCAGGTAAGATGATTACTCATTAGCAAGGCACATGATGATGATAATTACAGAAGTGAAAGGCACTCACATAAAAGGAAACCCACTATTGGAGACCAGGAACAGCTTCTTGCCCTCACCTGCCAGGTTTTCCAGCAACAGTTTGGTCTCGTGGCATTTGTCTGAGTACAGGTAGACATCTGAAACAATCAGAATCTCAAAGTCAGTCAAAGCCTCAAATATCTGGTTTCACAAATAATATCTCAAGTATTTGTCACCAAATGTCCTAAGTGTCTATCTTGTCTTAAAATCAGTGTGTCAAGTGTCTGTCTTAACTCTTAACAGATGTCTCAGATGTCTGCGTTATCACAAAATATTTCTGTAATGTCCATATTTGTTGTTGCTAACAACTGTTTGTCTTGTCTCCCAACTGATGTATCAAATACGAGTCTTATGAAATGTTTTTTTGTCTCGTAACTTTTGTATGAAATGTCTGTCATATGTTGTAAATGATGTATGAAATATCTGCCTTGTCTCCCAAATGATGCAGGAAATGTCTGTTTTATGTCCCACAGATGTATAAAATGTCTGTCTCCCCAACAGATGTATGAAATGTCTATCTTATATATCAACTGATGTATATAATGTCTGCCTTTGGTTCCAAGAGACATCTTAATTGTCAACAACTGTCCATCTTGTCTCCCAACATATACAGAATGTGCCTGTCTTGATTCCTATTACCTAGCATTACAAAGAGTGAAATATGCTGAACATGTTAGTAAAATTGTGAAATATATTGAGACAAAGGGAGGAACAGAAAACAGGAAGAACAGACAGCAAGTGTAAAACAAAAGACACTAAAGTTAAACATGTCAGCAATAAGTCATATGGTTAATTAAGTATAAAAGTAAGTAAGAAAAGGAGAGGAAAAGTATATAATAATTTAGAAAAAAAAAGTAGAGAGAAGAAAAAGTAATATTACCTAGGTCTTTTAAAATGGCCTGGTGCAGGACGCCTGACGTGTGTATGCTCTGAACTGTATTCTGCAAGTTGCAGTCAAATACATTTTAGTAATATTGATACAAAATATCATATTAAAATTCATAAGTGTTCCTGTAACACGTACATAATATTCTATATCAGGGCCCACGGATGCCTTGCAAGTGGCCCGCAGATCACTGCCAGCTGTATTGCATTAATGATCTTTCTATGCTGGGGCTCCGACCTCTGGACCCGTGACTATTCCCGTGTTCAAAATGTTGGCCACTGAGTAAACTTAGTTGAATATCTTTTTTTCTACACCTTTTATCTTTTAACTCTCCAGGAAGCACTGTTTCTTAGCCATCCCATGCCAGGCTTTCCAAGTCATTCTTGTAATTCCTTCTAAGTAAGCCTCATCAAATGTTGAGAAATAAACTTGACAACTTAGCAAACTTGAGGAGAAAGAAAAAGGGGAAGACGAAAGACATAAACACTTTGTCTGACCACAAGGTATAACCAGACAAGGATAATATAGACATGATCCCAGACTCTGGTGATCATATAAGATAGCAAACTAGGACCGGAAACCCCCCCCCCCCCCCCCCCCCCACCTGGTAATGGCACATGATGATGATATAAAATGGCATTAAAACAAATGCTTTTCTAACACTGGTTATCAAATTAATATTCATAACCTGTAACAATAATGGCATACATGTCTTACAGATGGAATCTGAGGTTACCATGGTGAAGGGAACTACAGAGTCAGGTTTAAAAAAAAAAAGATGGATGAGACATGGGGCTAGCTAGATGCGACAGCAAAGGAGGACAACCAGGGGTGAGTTAGTTGATGGCCTATGCTCCATTGGGAAATGAATGGCAAAAGAAGAATGGTGAAGCTATGTGGACAGTAACAGAGCCAGACCGGGATAAAACCCTTAGCAGAACCTCTCAATCATTCTGTCATCTATAAACAAAATATTCCAGGGCCCTTAATAAAGTTTAGTATTATTTGCTTTTTTATTCTCATTACCTTTCCCTATGAATTTTTAGATGTAACTGTTATTTGTTTTCAAGTGCAGATAATTTATTTTTCACCTGACTGTGTGAGACAGGAAGGCAAGGCCATCAGTGAAGTCTACTAGATCATCAAACTGTTCTGTCAGATCCACTGAACTTCATTTCTGATGGTGGCAATTTTTCAGAATCCAATCAAGTCAGTAAGAAAATAAAGGTATCCCTGCCACACTTCAGTTCTTATTTTCAAACACATCAAACAGACAACTCTATTCACAGCCTGTCAGACAGACTGTCTCTTCTCAATCCCCCCCCCCCCCCATTTTTAAATGCTAAGAGAGGAAACTAGTGAACATGGATTTATTTCTATTTATTGAAGACAATCAGGCGGCAAGTTCCTTGCAGAACCATATGCTCATCACAGCCCACTGAAAAAAACCAAAAAAAAAAATTGTTAAGCCTTTACCAGTTCCTTGTAGAGGCATTTTTGTTCAATGGATTACTCTACTGTCCTGTGTATAATTAAGATAATGATTGAAAACCGAACAAAAAGAGCAAGATGTATAGTCATTTCAAAAGCAAAGTAGGGACATATAATTTAACAACACATAATTTTAACTTACTCGAATGTCGTAAAACACATACTCTGAGTCATAGGTGATGTTGTTGGTGAGAAAATACTGCAATAAAAACACACATTAATAAAGGAATACCTCAAAACAATCAATTTCATCAAATACCACAAAATAAATTTCATCAGTTTCATCAATACTGTACACAAGAAAAAAAGTGCAGATTAATACCTGTTAGGTTTGTTTACAGTAAGTGTTGAGCTTGGATTTATGCAGATTTTTGTGTGTTTGTGTGTGCAAGCTTTTAATATTTCACACACGGTTCCAAGGTTCTTTTCAATACTTTCAAAACATTTATGTTTTAGTTACTTTTAGCTATCATCTGTTTTTACTTTTTTTTTCTCATCTTTATCTACAGTCTTTTTCATACATGGATATTCCTTTGGAAACATGTTGCCCATTATAAACAATTTATAAGATAGAGAATACAGCCAGAAATTCCAACAGCTTCATTTTGGTTTGTTGCAGATAAAGGAACCAAGGCAAACCATCAGTTTTTCTGGAAGAATGTACAAAGCTGCAAAAGGACCCTTACAGATTATGTGAAAGCCTATGACAAAGTTAAACATCAAGATACTTTTGATATTTTCAATGAGGAGTAGAGATTACAAAGATATCTGGAAAATGAATATACACTGGCTGCAAGAATCTGCCATCAGATACAAATGAGAATTAAGTGAATTCTTACACCTAAGGTTGTGGCAAATGTGTAGGTAAAGCCCATTACCTTGCTTGAAGGTAAACTAAAGAAAGTCTACCTTACAGAGTGCCGTTGAATCTGGAAACAGAACTCTGCGACAGGCAGCAAAATTAAAATACCAGCGCAGTGTCTGTCGAATGCACCAGCCACAAGGCTTAGACCCCCCCCCCCTCATGCCAGCCATACACTGCCCTAATAAAGAGGTAAATAAAGGCAGAAGACAGACATAACAAAAATATGGTTTTGTGACAGAATTATTTTACTTATATTTATGTGTAGTTTCAGCTGTGATTATAAATACATTTTTTTCCCCAGTGATACCTGATAAATTTTGACAAAGATCAGCTAATCTTTAATGTCTGTTTCCAGCAGTATGAAGCAGGACATTGCCAGAAGTGCATGGTCAACTATGTATCAGTGCAATGTATCAGGTATATGGTGCTAACTCCAGGTTAAGTTAAAGTTAGTTGTGTATCCTTTACAGGACGCTGCAGAACAAACCCCAGCATTTTTTTTTAGCTGTTGTGGTTTTTCTAGGCAAATTTACCTCCAGTAGTTTGCCATGGTCTCCTCCTGATACCACTGTCGAAACCAACGCAAGGTCTAAGGCCCATAGCTGGGATCGAACCCAGTACCCCCGGCATTACGAAGCGCGATCGCAACGCGTAAGCCACAGACGTCGACAGGTACTTATCACAAAGACGCAAGATTCCCCACAGACAGTGGTATGTTGTAGTGGTCTGATCTTTTGTTATTTTTGGCGGTATAAACATTGCATATTCCGCGTTGTGAGCAGCCAGCACAGTGTGTATTATGTGTGCTGTGCGTTCGCTCTTCATCTATATCACTGGGGCGTCAGTTTGTGACTTGACCGCCGCCATGAGTTCCCTTCAACTGTCATCATTGATTAGTGGCAAGCAGAGTAGCATTGCTTTTCTGTAAGGCACCCCCCTCCCCCATCCCCTTCCCAGGTTGGCCCTTTTCCGGGTCCACCCAATAATGCAACAACTCTCAAATCAGGGATGCTTGCATAAGAGACCTAGTTGAGAGAAAAAATAAAACTAGTTGAAGCCTCACTCGCGGACAGAAACACAAAATCGCTCAATGTTGTCCGCCTCGAAAGAGACCTTCACAGTTTCGTGTCAGGCCTCGGACAAATGGGAGTCACTTTTGCCTGCACTGTCTGTACAGACGGAGGAGGTGAAGTAACAGATTTCCTAACACCTCTACAACATAGCTGAGCCCATGGGAACAGGCCACTGCATGAATGGGAGTTGCTGCGAAATATTGCGCCCCGCGAGATGCGAGCATTTTCGTGATATGTACCTCCATTTTTTTTAAAGATCAGTCAGCACTCAATGGGCGACATGATCCATTTCACACTCCCTAGAACACTTCCTGGTACCCATTTTGATGTCGAGTAAGTTCCTGTCCACTGTAAGTAGCTAATCAGAAATGTTTCAGAACAAGTTACAGTGGATCAAGAGTTGAAGAAAATACGCTGGCGTTGGACAGGATACATGTTGAGAAAACCCAAGAACGATATAACTAGAAGGTCTTTGCTCTGGAACCCACAGGGGCATATAAATAAAGGAAGACCAAAAAACACATGGAGAAGGGAGCTAGAGTCTGAAGTTAAAAAGATAGGGAGAACTGCATGCAATAGCAAAGGATAAAACAGATCTGGTGTGAGTTGGTTGAGGGCCTTTATCTTATTGGGGGGATAGAATGAAGAAGAAGAAGAAATAAGAAATGCCTGCAAATTCTAATCAGTGTTGGTTCTTACCTCTGTAACCAAAGATATAAGAGTGATTTCAGGCAATGCAAAAAGATCAACCATCTGATGCATAGGTCCCTAGATGTCAGAATGAAAACAAAAGGATTAAATTGATACAGAAGGTTAAATCATGCAGAATGTCATCAAATCTAAACCTATGTCTAATCTTTCTTTCATACGTTTCCTTTCAAACAAAAGTTCCTAATAAAATCAATTTTGTTAAAATCCTTATGGATAGTTTAACCCTTCTGACCCGCTAATGCATTTTTTTTTTTTAAAGGAGGGTGTAAAAGGAAAGGGGGGGGGGGGGGGGGGGGCATGACAATTCCACAAAAAATCCTTTCAAAAACAATTTTTTACATGTAACTAATAAATCTTTAAACAGTTATCAATACTGTGTGTATGTAGAAATATTTAAAGATACATAAATAAACATGAAAAGAGTGAAGCATAAAATGGAATACATTACCTGGAACCTAAAACAAACATGTATTGGGTGACTCATGCCGTGACTCATGCCGTGACCCCACGACCTCTATTACTGAGGCTTATGGGAAAATCTGATATTAATTTGGCTTTAAAAAAGCCGCTGGCGTCATAATGAAAACCCCCCTATATGCAATTTGTAGATTATGTATTCATTTCGGAGCCTTTTAAAACTGTGCAGGTGCAAATAGAACCAAGAAAATTTAACTAAGTTTTCCAAGAACAGGTCACTGCCGAAATGCAGATATATCAGCATGTACAGGACTCTGTCACAATTGCAAGTGACCAGATTTAGTCTTCTCAAGGTGACAGAATTAAAAAGATGTTTAACCCTGCCCCCCTGAGAAGCCACAAAATTCACACATCCGGCGGCATCCAATTCCTTGGATATGTCATTTTTCTGAATTGTCTAGAGTGACATGTTTATGAGATTCACAGTTATGCGTAAATGTTTAAGTGGTTAGGATATGAATATATTAAATAGGGCCGATACAAACAATGCATTGCACAATTTAATGCCAGGTATATTTTGCTGTATCTTGTCAGATGCGTTACTACAGAGTTACATCAACATAAAATAAAGCACAAAACTGAATAAATCCAAATGAAATGTGAATAGTTTCTTCCGATACATCGTGTGTGTTTTTTGGCCGCCGGAAGCTCGCCGTAGTCACGTGACTTACCAGGGTAACTAGCTAAAAATAACATTTAGGGGGCATTTTTCTGTGAAAATCAAAAAGCTTTTTTTAAAAACCAAACCGACTTCAAATTTTCCATAAGCCTCAGTGATAGAGGTCACAGAGTCATGGCATGTCATCTGATACATGTTGTTTTTTTTTTTAGATCGCAGGGAATGTATTCCATTTGATACTTCACTCTGTTCATGTTTATTGGTAACTTTTTTTACATTCCTTAAAATATAATTTCATTTGTATTTTCAACCTAACAGAATAAAATCCCCATCCCTTACAGAGAATCGAACTTGGTCTACCACATGAGCCCAGCACTCTAACCACTCTGCCAGCCAATCCTCTAGTGCAACACACTTAACCTCAACTGTAGCTCTGCACAATGCCTTATGCCTTATGAACATATCAGGTTATTCTATAGGTTTAACTTTTCAATCCAAAACAAAATGGGCAACGAATCTAAACATTTATGAATTAAACCATCATTTACATAGGAACCAAAGAAAATTGTTTTAACATTTATTCATAAATTAATAAAGAAAAAAAAAGAGATTCTGAAAATATGAATAAAAGCAATTCATAAGAAATCAGTGAAGAATTAATTGAATTTCAGGCCCTAGGCCTAAACAAAATTATGAGCAACTCATATTGTAATTAGACTGCTAAAACTTAGGTTATGGATTTTATTTTCCCTAAATGATGTGGCAGGCAAAAACACAAACTGGCGTTAACTAGGCATCTCATAACCTGCAACAGCAGAGTGCTGGCATAGCAGCATTTATAGCATTGAGCCACTGCAGGATATGCCGGGTGTGTGGTTTCTCAGGAAGACAAGGCAATCAGTGACTACAACAGATCTTCTTTCTCTGCATTCACTGGCTGTAAACTCTGACACAAATTTATAACTGCTCGTCCACTTGTTCCACACCTGAATTTTTCATGCACACCCATTTGACAGATTTGCTTATCTGTAAGAAGACAGTTCCTTCGCCTTTCCAGCAGATGCGCTCCAACTTCAGAGGAAAGCACTAGAAATAATTGTTATATTGTACAGAACATATCTGGTAATCTGGTAATCCTAGTTTCAGCTTCATAGCAAATGGGTCACCCCATAGTTGCTCCGCTCCTGTGCCAACGAAAAATACACGTAGCTCACAGTGTCACGCCATGCACTCAACTCAGCAGCTGGGCGACGAAACTATATCCTTCCAGTCTACAAATGAAGCAAAAATGCAGCGGCCACCGCCTAGCGTCCATTTTGACCTGAAGCATTATATGAGGGTTAATAAACAGTCACCCCAGCAGTACCCTCATTATTAGCTGGGGGGATAAAGAACTTGACTGGGACAGGCCTCAGACATGCAACTATGAAATCCATTGCATCTCATCGCCTAAAAGATGGAGGGAGCTGATCAGACAATCAACAGCAAATGGTGACCCAACCACACGCAATGTTACCGGACGATGATGATGACGATATTCGAAGCAATTTAATTCGATTCTATTACCATTAAACCAACACAGAATTTGTATTATCAGTCGCCACACGCTGAGGGACGTACTGAAGATGAGATCCGGTCGCTTATGGGCTTGCTCCATGTGCAGAAAGGATAGTCTGTCGATCAACTAGCTAGTTAAACACAATTTACACTGAAGGGGAGAACACTCTACATGTAACTAAACTTGGTATTTATTTACATGGACATTTTGAAATAGCCTGTTTATATTTATGTACATCAAGAATTTATTTTAGTAACATGTTATCCATGGTCGACCCAGCCTAAAAGGAGTAACAGGAAACGTCACGAGAGGTAAAGATGGCCGTTGTAATGTTGACTACACTACCCACCAGCGACCTATAGAAAGCAGACTGGTTTATGAAAATATGATAATTTATCCCAAACGCCACTGACCTAACAAAAGACCGTTACCGTTTTTTTATTTTGTTCTGTCTATTTTCAAAAGAGGGTTTGTAAGATAAATAAATATTAAAGCAACCCGATTTGTATCTAATAAATTAAGGTCTGTATACGATTCCATAAAGGAAAACTAAAACTCAAAACACAAGAATTATACATAAAGTTCAGCAACTGTCTCGAAACAAGGAATCTTTTGTTAAAACCAGCTCGCGTTTAAAGCGGGTTCCACAGAGATAGGAAACATAATATGTCCATGTGTATGTATGCTCTACTGTCCAGAAACTCTAACGCAAAGAACATTTTGACAGGAAAGAAGCGCTCTGTATAAAAACTGGTGCCGGGCGAGGCTACGGAGCAAAAAGTCTTCTTCTTCTTCTTCTTCTTCTTCTTCTTCTTCTTCTTCTTCTTCTTCTTCTTCTTCTTATTATTATTATTATTATTATTATTATTATTATTATTATTATTATTATTATTATTATTATTATTTCTTCTTCTCCTTCTCTTCTTCTTCTTCTCTTATTTTTCTTTTCTTCTTCTTCTTCTTCTTCTTCTTTTTTTTCTTCTTTGTCTTCCTCTTCTTTTTCTCTTTTGGCGTTCGCCAATTGTACAATATTCAGGCAAAAGGTTATGGTTCATCCTTTCTGTAATCATTTCTTCCTTCATTCTCATTCCCTTCCTGATAAGCGCCCTCCACACAACACAGTCCATGGCATTTTGTTACCATAAGTTCACTGTCTAAACTACACAGTACTATCTAACATACACGCTCACATGCACACACACATTCATCATCATCATAGCCCATAACACAGCCTTTCACTGGATCACCAATTGTTGTTGACTGATGATCATTTCTCTCTCCCTATTTGTCAGATGCAATGGACTCAATGTCTGCAGGTTTAAGGCCTATCCAGGCAGCTAAGATCTGTATCCAGGTCTTTCTTGGTCTGCCCCTTCTTCTCGTTCCCTCTACAGAGCCTTGTAATATTGTTTAGTACTGTTTTGGATAGGTCAACAGACGCTATAACATGTCTGTTTCATTGCATATTCCATCTTTTCAATGTTGTTAAAGAGCTGTCAATGGTTTGGGTGATGATATGGAGAACTTTGTCATCTGTGATGTGCCTTCAATATGATATATTTATACTTATTCATTTTTATAAAGTGTACATGATTATGGAATGCACACATCAGGATCCTAGCCAAAACTATATAGTTCATGCCCTGTGCTAAGATTCTTCTAGTGTGATCTGTCTATAAAAGAAGACTGAAGTACTGATGGAGATATCTTTGTCAAATGAAATTGATGATATGCACACCAAAGAAATCCATCCTTATCATTTGTGCATCAATCTTGTATGTAACATATGTCAAGAAAATCAAAGAACATACAATGGGCTACATGTTTTACCTTTTTAATGTCATAATGGAGCCCTCTTACAGCAAATTCTGAATCATATTCAAGCTCCAAAATACCTTCAGGATACTGGACAAGATAAAGTTAAGTGAGTGATGGTTATTTTCAAAGCCTTATGACTCAGTAAGATAATGCTCCAAAATCAAACTTACTAAAGGTTAGATATATATATATATATACATAGACACACACACACACACGCACACATGCACACACACATGCACCCACGCACGCATGTACTCACACACATACACACACACACACATGTTAAGACCATTTCCTGAGCTGAATAGAAGCTGCAGATGGACAGTATAAAAATAAAATACAAACTATCACTGAGTGTTGATGAATAAGAAGACTTTAATGAGCTGCTCTTCACCGACGACCAAAGACTATTCAGTGAGTTAACAGCATGAGTATAGGCATATGACAGAGTACCTTCAACATAAAGACCAAAGTCTGCAATAAGTACATGAATCTAAATACTAGGGCAGCATCTCTACACACAACAGTAGACTGTACAGAGAGACAGGCACAAGAATCTAACAAGCCAACAATAGTATGTATCATCATCTAACCCCAATCTTGCAACACCCGGCTGTTAAAGCAGACACTAAATGAAGAATTATAAATGCAATCCTTATTGTAACTTTAGGTTACTAGTGTCAGACTTGGACATTAACCAAAGAAAATGAAAAACTGCAAAATCTGTGAAATGAGATGTTTGAGAAAAGCCGCAAACAAAACCAGAGAAATCCAGTGAGAAATGAATAGATAACAAAACCTATTGGAACAATACACTTAGTTAAATTCATTTAGAAACAGACAAACGGTTTGGCCACTTAGTGAGTATAAATCTGATAATGCTAGCAGTGAAGAGTGTACAACAGCAAAATGGAAACACTAGGAGGCAGAGAGAGACCAGAAGAATATGGACTGAGGGAGTCACTGAGAGCCTAAGACTTCACACCATTACAGCATACTAAGCAACCGAGCAGGTCCTGGCTCAGCTAACTACCCTATGTTAAAGTGTAAGAGTAAAAGTGAGAGGTTCCACTTCAATGCACCGGGTTTTATTCCATATGGCTCAGTCTCTCTCCGCAAAACAGTTAATAGACGATTGGTATCTGAACTAGAACTGTTAAAGTGTGTTGCCTAGAGGCACAAAGCAGATACCGATAAAAGCAAAAGATGAAGGAGTGAAGCGAAGGTAAAGGACAGATTTCCATGCCCTGAGACACACTTGGAATATGGTGCTAGCCCCATAATGGTACAGACTAGCCAGACCTGGACAGGTGATGTGCTCAATATCATGTCAGTTGCCTTCGCTTCCAATTATTTCTGTTACCCATTTTAGGCTGGGTCAACCTGGGAGTCCAGGAGAACTGTTAAAACCTGCCTCAATGAAAATTCAAACTGATGACCACCAGACTGCTAGCAAGGTGACTGGTATCCGAACTAGGGCTTGCTTGATTGCCTGGTATGCTGTGGAGTCTCTGTGACTCCTTCAATTCATCTACTTCTTAATCGTTCTCTAGCTTTCATGTTGTAAGCTCTCATTGCTGGCTTCAATGATTCATTCTCATTAAATGGCCAAACCATTTCAGTCTTTGTTTTTCAACAATTATAGTGTGCTAACTATAGAACTATAATTTTGTGTTGTCTTCACAATAAAAGTTGGCTACAGTGCACCCACTGCTGTCCTTATAAATATTATGTGGTGAGGTTCCAATCTCTTCCCCGTTGTGACCAATCTCTTCCCCAGTGTAACCAATCTCTTCCCCGGTGTGACTAATCTCTTCCCCGGTGTGACTAATCTCTTCCCCGGTGTGAACAATCTCTTCCCCTGTGCGACTAATCTCTTCATCGGTGTGACCAATCTCTTCCCCTGTGCGACCAATCTCTTGCCCGATGTGACCAATCTCTTCCTCGGTGTGACCAATCTCTTCCCCTGTGCGACCAATCTCTTCCCCGGTGTGACCAATCTCTTCTCTGGTGTGACCAATCTCTTCCCCTATGCGACCAATCTCTTCTCTGGTATGACCAATCTCTTCCCCTGTGCGACCAATCTTTTCTGGTGTGACCAATCTCTTCCAAGTGTGACAAATCTTTTCCCCTGTGCGACCAATCGTTTCATCGGTGAGACCAATCTCTTCCCCTGTGTGACCAATCTCTTCCCCTGTGTGACCAATCTCTTCCCCTGTGCAACCAATCTCTTCTCTGGTGTGACCAATCTCTTCTCCTGTGCGACCAATCTCTTCTCTGGTGTGACCAATCTCTTCATCGGTGTGACCAATCTCTTCCCCTGTGCGACCAATCTCTTCCCCTGTGTGACCAATCTCTTTCCGTGTGAGACCAATCTCTTGCCCGGTGTGACCAATCTCTTCCTCGGTGTGACCAATCTCTTCCTCGGCGTGACCAATCTCTTCCCCTGTGCGACCAATCTCTTCTCCTGTGTGACCAATATCTTCATCGGTGTAACCAATCTCTTCCCCTGTGCGACCAATCTCTTCCGCTGTGTGACCAATCTCTTCCTCAGTGTGACCAATCTCTTCCCCTGTGCGACCAATCTCTTCCCCTGTGCAACCAATCTCTTCCCCGGTGCGACCAATCTCTTCCCCGGTGCGACCAATCTCTTCCTCTGTGCGACCAATCTCTTCCCCGGTGCGACCAATCTCTTTCCTGGTGTGACCAATCTTTTCCCCGGTGCGACCACTCTCTTCCCCGGTGTGACCAATCTCTTCCCCTGTGTGTCCAATCTCTTCCCCTGTGCGACCAATCTCTTCCCCTGTGCGACCAATCTCTTCCTTGGTGTGACAAATCTCTTCCCCTGTGCGACCAATCTCTTCCCCTGTGCGACCAATCTCTTCCCCGGTGTGACCAATCTCTTTCCCTGTGCGACCAATCTCTTCCCTGGTGTGACCAATCTCTTCCCCGGTGTGACCAATCTCTTCCCTGGTGTAACCAATCTCTTCCCCTGTGCGACCAATCTCTTTATCGGTGTGACCAATCTCTTCCCTGGTGTGACCAATCTCTTCCCCTGTGCGACCAGTCTCTTCATCGGTGTGACCAATTTCTTCCCCTGTGCGACCAATCTCTTCATCGGTGTGACTAATCTCTTCCCCGGTGTGAACAATCTCTTCCCCGGTGTGAACAATCTCTTCCCCTGTGCGACCAATCTCTTCATCAGTGTGACCAATCTCTTCCCCTGTGCGACCAATCTCTTCACTGGTGTGACCAATCTCTTCCCCTGTGCGACCAATCTCTTCATCAGTGTGACCAATCTCTTCCCCTGTGCGACCAATCTCTTCACTGGTGTGACCAATCTCTTCCCCTGTGCGACCAATCTCTTGATCGGTGTGACCAATCTCTTCCCCTGTGTGACCAATCTCTTCTCTGGTGTGACCAATCTCTTCATCAGTGTGACCAATCTCTTTCCCCTGTGCAACCAATCTCTTCATCGGTGTGACCAATCTCTTCCCCTGTGCGACCAATCTCTTCCCCTGTGTGACCAATTTCTTCTCTGGTGTGACCAATCTCTTCCCCTGTGTGACCAATCTCTTCCCCTGTGCGACCAATCTCTTCTCTGGTGTGACCAATCTCTTCATCGGTGTAACCAATCTCTTCCCCTGTGCGACCAATCTCTTGATCGGTGTGACCAATCTCTTCCCCTGTGTGACCAATCTCTTCTCTGGTGTGACCAATCTCTTCTCTGGTGTGACTAATCTCTTCTCTGGTGTGACCAATCTCTTCATCGGTGTGACCAATCTCTTCCCCTGTGCGACTAATCTCTTTATCGGTGTGACCAATCTCTTCCCCTGTGCGATCAATCTCTTCTCTGGTGTGACAAATCTCTTCCCCGGTGTGACCAATTTCTTCCCCTGTGTGACCAATCTCTTCCCCTGTGCGACCAATCTCTTCTCTGGTGTGACCAATCTCTTCATCAGTGTAACCAATCTCTTCATCGGTGTAACTACAGGTTGCAATGGCTGTTTTGTGGCAAATGTGCAGGTGCAAACTTGTTTTGTCATGGCCAGATTTTGAACACTTAAAAGACAAATGTTCAACAATCAACAGTGTTCATTACAGTAAGATGCTTGTTGAAGATCTGAAGCCAAAGCTTTGGATAACATGCAAAGGACTGCTAACCAGTGGCATTGCAGGATAATGCACCCCGCACACCCCTGCCCACACTGTTGACTTTGTGCTGAGATGCAACAGCATCCTCTCTAAAGTTCTGATCTTGTTGTCAGACTTTCCCCATGCCTGATCCCCTGAAAGCAATCATTTGATGATGATTATTCACCTCTGATAAAGTGATATCAGTAGTGCTTTGGTTGCTCAAATGCTCAGCTTAAAACATTTTAAGGAAAGTATATTAACTCTTTCAGTCCCATGGGGTTTAGCATCAGAGGCCCAAGGGGTGGTCAAGACAGATGTAAAATCAGTGCACCTTGCATTCATTGGGCTTCTAGGTAGGAACCTATAAATGCTTTATAAGTTCCATGGGACTGAAAGAGTTAAAGTTTGTAGTCAGATGGAAAAAGACTATTTAAAAGCAAAGGGGGCAGTGGTTAAAACTAATATATATGTCTTTTAAAAAATGTATTTAAAATAAATTCTATAGCCACAGTGTTTTTTTTTTTTTTAACTCGCCCTCGTAGAATAACAACATGCACACAGCTCTATACATCTGCAGCAAAGTCTTACCCTTAATTTATTCACCAGGGCATCCCTTCCCAGGGTAAAGATAAGTTTGTGCAGCTCCGGAGTATATGTGGCAAGGGTATAGTCATAATCAAATCCGTAGATTTCTATATTCGCTAGGGAGAGTTCATTGTTGGCAAAGATTGCTTCCGGATTCTGATCTGGTATAGGCTGCTGCTCTAAAAATAGAAAGAAATTGGCAATCACTGCAAGATTGGAGAATTTATGTAACATTACAGTTTTCTTTTTCTGTTTGATAGCTTTATCTGTGGATCATAGGATCACTATCGAGGAATCTCTGATGTGGCCAACTCATCTGCCATGCATTCTGAGGGTGAGTTCATTTTACGTACACTTCTCCCCATCAAAGATTTTACGAAATTTCTGTGGACTGTCAATAAAGCTACAGAGTTTGTGCATTATGTAATGCTCTTGGTAGGTTTCTAGCTGTTCTATGGACAGAGACTGAGTATATCAGTTACATCCTCTGCAATTAAGTTGTTTCTCTCAACTTCAACTCCACAGGATCATCATGGTAAATAATACCCGTGGTAAGATCTATGACAATTTATAACATCTCAATGGAACATTTTTTATGTAACTAGCAATATATAAATTCAAATAAACTGAATACAATTTCAGGAAACTCATGAGTGCAGTAAAACTACATCCGTGCATCCTGTAGAGTGAGGATTACGAAACTGTATGGTGAGGCAAAGTTTCCTAACGAATGAACTGGTGATCATGTCTTTCTTATAAGCTTTGTTCTTAATATACTGCTGAATCTTTCCTTATGACTCACTGGGACTATGATCTTTTCCACTGGCACAGGCTAAGTGCATTAAGTCATATATATTATATATCATTTTACTTCATATAAATTGCACTCTAGAAAATAATTATGTTTCTGTTTACTATAATGCTTCTGATATTCAAAGCACTTGTGCTCTTTGATAGTAAAATGGGTTATTCAAAGCTCATTTGTTCTGTTTTTTTGTTAAAGAATTTAGTGAAATGTACGTTTTTCTTTCAAACTTTGATTCCATATTTTGCGTCCATAATTCTGTTTCATTCCAAAAGTAAAACTATATATCTTTTGACTGACGTTCAACACCAACGAAATTATCAAGAACCTAGGGACAATAGCCAACACAAAACTGCAGATTTTTAAAAATTGTTGGGCAAGTGGCAAAGTTCCACAGATATAGAGAGAAGCAATCATGATACCTCTCCTAAAACCAGGAAAAGATGGTACTAATGCCTCCAGTTATAGACCAATCAGCCTTACCAGGCAGGATTTAGACTCTAAAGAAGACCAGAAAACTTACCTCTCTCAAGAAATTGAAGATGCCTTCCAAGAAAAGAAACTAGTGCTTGTAGCATGGATAGATTTGAAGAAAGCTTTTGACAAGGTCTGGAGAGAAGATCTCATGAAGATACTGAAAAACTACAAAGTGAATGGGAATATGTACAAATGGGTGAAATCTTTATTGTATAAAAGAAGAGCCTGAGTACAGATAGACCGACTCAAGAGCAAGAAAATCTTGCTGCTTGTGGTGTTCCCCAAGGTGGTGTTTTGTCCCCAACACTGTTTCTGGTCTATATCAACGACTTAATTGCTGAACTACCACATGGTATTAAAGCTGCAATGTATGCTGACGACTTGGTACTCTGGTGCACAAATAAATGTGCAACAGGACCACTGGTTTGCTACAAAGATTCATAGATGCAATGGCTGCATGGGCCGATAAATGGTGTGTCAGCATCAACATAGACAAGTGTAGCATCACTCTCTTCACCCTCTCCCCGAAACAAAAATCAGGTGTTATTCAGATAAATAGAATAACACTAAGAGAGAATAAGGAGCCCCACATACCGCAGAGTCACGTTTGATGATAAGGTAAAATGGAGAAAACACATCAACAAGGCAGCAAGCAAAGCCAGAAGGAAGATAGCTATCCTAAGAAAACTAAGTGAAACAACATGGGGGGTAAATGCGAAAATACTTAGGAAAGTTTATCAACAAAGTGTACGACCACACCTTGAACATGGGTCTACAGCATGGAAAACCACACTAAAAAAGTTAGACAAGGTGCAAAATCAAAGCGTTCAGAACAGGCAGGATGAAATCAACACCTATAGCTGTGATGGAGAAGATTGTGATGACTCCAACACTGACAGACAAACAGACACTAAGATACTAATACAAGCAGAAAAGTTTCTTTGCATTCCTGAACACCCTATGAAAGAAAGATTCTGAAATCTAGCAATGGGGTGACTAAAAAAGAAGCAGTTTCATCCACCAGGTCCAACGACTTTGCAGGCAAACCAATGACCTGCCTGCAACTGTAAGCTCCTTAAATGCTATTCCAGATCAGACCCCTTGGATAAAGGATTATAAGTTGCCAATACACATCCAGACAGAAGTCAAAGGAGTATTCGACAAAGAAGAACAAAACAGTGTGCAACGTAAAACACCACACTAGCTCTACTTGATGACAAGAAAGAACATAATCTTTGGGTTCCTGTCTATATGGATGGGTCAGCACAAAACACAAGCAGAAATGGAGGAGCAGGACTGTATTAAGCATCCAAATAATACCAGATATACAGCCAAAATACCTATGAGAAAGCACTGTCACAACTATGATGCAGAAGTTCAAGCCGTCAAAATAGCAGCAGAGAAACTGTTAAATATATTTCTATTTCACAACCCGTAGTATCTCTGACAGATGCAAGAGCGGTGCTTCAGGCACTCCATTCAGGAAAACTACCTGATATACGAACACTACTCTCCAAACTAGGCAGCCTGTGTAAAGTAACTATGCAATGGATACCACCCCACTGTGGAGTACCTGGAAATGAAAGAGCTGATAAGCTAGCTAAGGAAGGTGCAAATGAAGAACAACCTGATGTACCAGTCTCTTAACAAAAGAAGAGAATAATCAGCTCTCCTCCAAACTTCGTCCCCATATTATGGCGGCCTAATAAATACACTAACAGGGCCTAAATCATGTGTAAAATGCGGAATGCTGAGGAACAAATCCAGGCAAAACTAGGATTGTCTCTGAATAACGGGCCAATATTATCGAGGACAAACAAATACTCTAACAGGGTCTCAGTGATATGTTAATTGCAGACCAGTTTCTGCGACTATGCCGCATCACCTACAGTATCCCCAGCGCCGCTACCTGCGACGCAGATGAAGAGCTAAACTAGATGGCTGGGACTCACAAGCAAATAAATTGGAGGAAGTTGCAGGAGATGCAGTAGCTGCTGCTCGTGAGTCTCAGCCATCTAGTTTAGCCTCCCATCTGCGGCGTGCGTAGCGGCGCTGGAGATATGCTCAGCGGTGAGTTTAATCGGAAGAACACTATCACTAGCCTGCGTCGAAGCGCGTGGTCTCTCCGCCATGTCGCTATTGTCGTGTGTATTGTTGCGCTTCTCGAAATTGTCAACGGACAGTAATCATAGTTTTTCCATGATCTGTTCGTCAGAGGATGTCTGCATTTTACACACGACTGAGGCCCTGTTAGGGTATTTGTTTGGCCGCCATAATATGGGGACGAAGTTCGGAGGAGAGCCGAATAATCAAATCAATGAAAGCCACCAAAACTGGAACAAGAAGATTACCATTTTACAGACAGACCAAAGCAAGTTATTATTCTACGCCTCAGAACAGAACACAATCGACGTCACAACCACATGTACACACAATTTAAAATGGGTGAATCAGACATGTTCACATGCAGATTGGCACCTGAGACAACAGATCATGTACTCCAAGACTGTCCCAAATACAACATATCAAGGGGGTGCAAGTCAAACTTTACGGGTAGCTGAGTGAATTACAAAAGCCAGTGAAGTTCATACCAGAGACAACACTGCAGGTATAGATAATAATCTATTTTAAGCGAACGAAAGAAGAAGAAGAATGAGGATCACCGGAGACAGGTACCAGAAACCACGTTCAGCCCATAGGCTGGGTTATATTAGGGCACCCGGCAACAGCTAAAGTGGGGCTTTAGAACAACAACAAAATTGCGACCGACATTCGGATTCAGCATTGATGCAACAAGGCGAGTACATTTTTTGTTGAATAAAAGGTTGCTGAATAATGTAGACCCTATACGGTTTTTGCAAAGTAAGAGTTATACAAAATCTTTTTAATGTCGATAAAAAGGGTGATTACAACACTGAATAATATTACCTTCGGCTTCAGCTTTTCTTGCCCTGTATAACTCCTCCAAGTGTTTCCTTGAAGCAACGTAGAACCGCGGGTAAAAGCATCGAGAAGGAGGGGACTTTCGTAAACCAGCAGCAGTAGCAGACAATAATCTCCTACCTATAGCAGACGCGAACATTGGCATCTTCAATTCCCGACCGACTTGTACAAGCCCACAACGATTCTTTCACACACAGTGGGTGTAAATTCTAATGTGCACAACAAATACTGGTTATCTCCGTGTAATGCGTTAGTGAACAGATGTCAGAAGAGCCCCAGCATTGGATACAATCGAGTGATTTGTGTGTTGGCAGTCCCACACGAATCATTCTCTGTGGACACGAAAGACTTACAAAACACGAGAACAACTTGTTTACTTCACCGCAAACATTCCGCTACGGTGTCGCGATAGTTTTTCCCCTCCCGCCAAGAATTCTTCTTCTTCTTTTCCTTCTCTTCGCGTTCACCAGCTGTGAACTTCGGCGGAAAGTTCTGGTTGTTCACCCCCGTCTAGACTTTATTCTTGTTCTCGAACCTGAGCTTTGCGTGGTCCCCTCGGTCTAATACGGTTCGGTGGTGGGGGCCCTACCTCTCTAGCCCCCGTATCGTATTATCTTATTAAAAGTTGGAAAGAGACGTGGGGAAGTCAAGGCGAAACAACCATTACTTTCCAGATGTTTCCAAACAATCCCATTTTAAAATTCTAGGCGACCAGGAGGATTCCCCTATTTCAGACTGATAGAATACTGTAACTATGTGAGTGGCCCTCTCTTTCATTCCCAATTATCTTCTCCCATGTCTGTGGATAACCATCTAGTGATACCCCTGTAGCTCTCCTTTCTTGTATGTAGCTCTTCTGCTCTGTTTGCTCCGTGGCCCCCGCTAGACAACGTCCCTGTACCGACTTGTGTTGTAAATAGTTGGGAAAAAAAGTGAGGACATTAACAACCACTA